GCATTTATTTTGATTACAAATTTTATTAATATTAATTAATATAATATGAATTTATTTGATTCTAATTTATTAATATTAATTAATGTAATAATAAGTATAGTTTCATCAAGTATAATTATGAAAATTATAAAGAATTATTAAAATTGGAATTAAATATTATTAATATATTCAAATAATAAAAATAAAGTTGTATGAATTTATTATAATTAATTCAAAGTTAAGATAATAATTTAAATTATTATCGTTAACTCTTTTTTATAGTAATATTAGAATCAACATTAATAATATAATCGTAATATTTTTAATAAATATTACAACAACTATAGAAATATAATTAGAATCGTAGATAAATTTTATGAATATGTTTTAGATGCAATAAACTTTCCCATCGAAAAATCATGTAATTATTTAAGTGATCACTTAACACATATCAATATACTATTCCATCACATATTTATTAAATTATTTACATAAATGCTTGAAACAGAATCTACACAGTCTTGATTACATATTTACATAATTATTTATGTGATGGCTTATTTCATTTCTACATACAATATAGATTATCCCCCTAATATCTTATTAGTGGAAACTTTCTTCTACTCAATTAATAAAGAAGAGCACATACACCATAATTTCATTGGAGCATACTGTGAACTTATTCTCTCAGAGACACTAACTTGAGAATATTCTTTTTTGATCTGGAATTTTTGAAACAACCTAACTACTAGATGATGACATTCAAAAGAAAAAATATATGAGTTTTCTAACGCTTATATCTCACCCTTAAATAATTGGATGGTTTTTATTTAATTTTGGGGCATTTTTTTCAAAATGGTAGAGAATAAATTTGAAACTCTTTCCATAAGATGAAGTTTCTATAGGGCCTAAGCTTCATGAAAAGAAAATAAAGCCTCACCTGAAATCCTCATATGGAAAGAGCACGTTATCGGAAATCTTCATGATGGCTCTAAAATTAATTTTCGAACCAACAATAAAATTTGAAACTAAAAAATAGTACAGATTTTGTGGATATGTGAATACTTATTTTTAGGTTGAAATGCATGGTCTAGATGATTTGTTGCAATATGTACTATTTTTAAAATTTAAAATCCTTAATTTTTTTATACAACTATAATGTTCAAGTCGAGATGATCGATGCAATAGTTATCCAATACTTGAATTGTGATTTTGGATGAGGTATGAGGTGATGCTTTATTTACTTTGACAGGGCTGCAAACCTATGAAACTATGTTCCATTTTTATATTGAGTATAACATATACGTTGGAACTTTTTTTTATATTGAGTATGACATACAGGTTGAAGAGGTTAATCCCCAAAAGATATGGTCCTAGAAATGCTTCTAGATTGGGTATGCCCGAGGTAGTAAATGGCCAGCATGTTCCTTTAGGAGCATGAAACCTTTTGGCACAAAGGAGAAACAATTTTTGTTGGAGCAGTTATACGAGATCGATTCTGAAAATATGCAGACCGCCTAAGAATTACTAGATGATTAGTCTCAAAAGAAAAAAAAATTGAAAATTTTGAGTTGTCTAACGCTTAGATCTCACTATATAAAAATTGTACGGTCTCTGTTCAATCTTGATACATTATTATTTTCAAGTGATGTAATTAGAAAATTTTTGTTATTGAAGGTAATCTTGATACATTATTATTTTCAAGTGATGTAATTAGAAAATTTTTGTTATTGAAGGTAATATATGGATTGGAGTTACATCCCAAGATTTTGAGTCCTAAAATTAAATGGGATTTTAGCCGAATTAAAAGGGATTTTAGCCGAGGGAGTAAATTGGCAGTACACTCCCGTAGGAGTATAATATCTTTTGGCTTTTGAGAGAGAGAGAGAGATCGCCTCTCTTCCAAACGGGTCGACGGTGTGGCGCACACGTTTTGAATTCCCGCCTGAAAATTTCAATCTATTCGTTCCCCCAATTCTCTTCCCTGCTATCTCTACGCATTCTCCCTTCTCTCTCCTCTCTCTCTCTCTCTACTCTCTCCTCTCTCTCTCTCTACTCTCTCTCTAGCTTCTCTGATACTTGCTTAAATTGATCTTTAAATCCCCATCCACTTTCCGTATTCGAGTAAGAACTTTGCTATTTTGTTAGATTTGTGCGTATATCAGTGTTATAATGATGCTCTTTGCTCCATTTTCTTCATTTTTTGTTTATTTTTGGCTGTTTATTGAGTGAGGGTTTCACTTGTATTGTACATTTCATTAAATTGTTTCTTCCTTTTCTCCATTTTCCCTCTCATTTTCAATTGTTTATTTTTTTCTTGTTTACACTGTAAATGAGTTCAACAGATTAAACCTCTGTAAATCTGTGAAATTCATATGCAGATTTACTCTGTAAATGAATTGAGGGAGTGATTTTGATTTTAAGGTTTCGGGATTTTGATTATGTTACTTTGTAAATGAAAAACTGTATCATGGATATTGTATTCAATTCCATTTTTGGATGTACTCCCTAAATGGTTAAGGAAGGTTATTTATTACTCTGAGTTATTTCAAACCTTAAGATGGACGCAAATTCCCCAAACTCTGCTTAAATCAACTGCAAAAGGAGGCACATTTGGTATTCCTACATTTTTTTGAAGAATGTTTCCGTTTCACATTTTCTCTACGTTTTTTTGTTTTTCTTGAAAATTTTGAAGTCGCTTACTTTTTTATTATTTACTGCAATTCATTTTGTTTAATCTTCTGCAATTCATATCATAATAATGTAGTTTATATTCTTTATCTTTTTCTATCCAGGGTTATTCCGAAGCCTATATTATCCCAAGAGTTTCTATTTGTTGGTGGCCTTGCCAAACTAGCAGGGTTGTAATAACCAGAGCTTATTCTGCTAAAGGTAATCATATATGATTGTAGAGGCATTCTTTTTCTTCTTTTTCTTTCTGATGAAAAGCAAGGAGTAATATGGTAACTTTTACAGGATACCTCATCCTTTTATCATTGTTTTACTTGTCTTTGATTTTTTTTTTTAATTTCTTTGTATACTTATATTTTGGAGCCATTCATTTGCCTTATTAAAAGGAATGTAAAACCAAAAAATCCAGTCAATTGTATTTGAAGAAGTTAAGCTGGTTCTATGTGGATTGATGGTCTCATAATCCATTTATGCTGTAATTTTAAGGTGGTTGGTTATCTAAGGATCAGTGTTTTAAAACTCTGCCTAGTTACTCGGCCTTGGCATGGCGCTGAGGTGGCTTCTAATGTCCAGGTTCAGGTTTAAGAGATCTATACATTTGGGGCAAGTACTGTATGGACTGAACTGAGTACTGTAGAACTCGGGTTGCCTTTTTATAGTACTTGGATTGAGTTCGTAACTTACTGCAACTTAAAATCAAAGAAGGATGGGGGGAGGGGGTTGGGCATAATTTTACTCACCCACTTTGCATTTTCTTTGAAGATTGGAGAACCCAAAATCCCACATCATCATCCAAGCCGTATCTAAACTATTTGGGGTTGGCTACATGAATCATATTCTATCATTCTGTTCTATTAAGGGCCATACTCTCAGTAAGACCACATGTCAGACAGTACAACATGTCGCTTATAGGGAATGCCCTAGTATGAGCATATAACATAGGTTCAGGATTGATGATTTGGCAAAGATTTATGTTGGGTGCCCTACCTAACACAACCCTCTTTCTTTAACTTGGGGCCGACCAAGGCAGAGTTACCCAAAACCCCACATATTGATCAAATTTTTAATATAAGATAGATAACCCACTAGATCCACCTATTAGTCTTAGAAGCGTTACATTCATGAAAAAAATTCTTTTAACTAGCTTTAACCAAATTGAGTATATAATTTCGTTAATTTTCTTCTCCTTAGTTTTGTTTATTGTGAATTTGTACTTCTGGTGCTTCATGCGTCTACTTTCCTATTTTAACCGCTTTAAAACCTCTTGTACTTTTTCCTGTTGTGAACTCATTTCCTTTTTCTTTTTTAATTGTGATCAATGATAAGATTAGTGTTGATATAATTGATTGCATTGTTTGAAAAGTCGGCCATCCGGTGTCCTAGGCAAGAAAAATACCTAATAGGGGCCTTGGTGGGCACCCTAGGCTGCCATGTTTGTAAGTGCTGCCGTAGCCTGAGCGCATAGGCAATGCCTCGATACCCTTAGCCTAGGGCTAAGTAAGGTCCTTGTCCAAGGGAAAAATTGACCTTTTCCCCCTATAAAGGAGGGAAGGGTTTTTGGGGGAATAGAATGCCCCCAAAACCCTTATATTGCCTTCTTGAGAGAGCCAAAAATATTTTTTTTTCTGTTTTGTTTTGAGATTTTTCTCAAGATGAATTTTTTTTCATAGTTTTAGATGGTTTGCAAAATTGAAAAGTTAACCTATCAAATACTTTACGGCTTGGACTGGATACAAAAGAGGGCATTTGACCATCACAGTTCATTTGTTCTAGCCTATATTGATTTGATTTTGGAAAGGTTAGTGTATTACAATATTTGAATTATGTTTTGTTGATTTATTGTGTAAAAAGGGCTTTTAATTGTTTTTATTTCCCATTTGGTTTTTGTTTTTGTGATATTTTATAAGTTTGGATTTGGATTTTTGGCCCTTATTCAAGAGTAGGTTTTAGTTTCGGTTTTTTTATATTTTCTTAAGATTGGGAGACCCAATCTTAAGAAAAAGTCAAATCTGAATCCAATTGGATCTTTTCCACTTTATTTGTCCTTATACTTCTTAAATAATTCAAGGATTGGATAGGGTTAATAGAGTGATTATTTTTTTCCTACTTTATTGCATCTTTTCAATTATTTGGTGTTTCTTTTTTAAGTTCTAACATGGGCATATGGCATTTGTGACTTTCATGATATAGTTGGGTTCCTTTATTGGTTCATTAGTAAAGTTTGATTTGTTTCATCCCAGGGACAACTTAAAAAAAAGAAAAAATAGTAACAGTTTGTAATTGAGTTGTTTTATCAATAGGTCATTTGGGATGTTTTGAGATCCCATCCAAGTCCCTATCAACACCTTGAGGGCTTAGATGCCCTTTATTTCTACCTAGGCTGCCAAGGTTTGTAGGTATCCGTCTAGGCGTCAAGGACACTTGGCTGCCTAGGCAACCGCATTCTAATTTTTAAACATTGATTAATCATTTACGTCGAATTCGAGCAAATGCAGTGAAGATTCCTTGACTTTATTGTGATTTAAGTAATTTATTGGGAATTCTAGAAGAATCTATCCTTATAAACATGAACATGAACATGAACTACTCGAGTTAATTTCGGATGCATTTACTATATAACAATACCACATAGGACTGCATCGTAGTTGGGTTGAGTGCCTCTTCAAAGAAGAAACTAGCATCAAATATGTTAATGGTGATTTTTTTCTGTTCCCCTTTGTCCTTCAAAACCACACTAAGATGTATTATAGTAAATGTCTTTTCTTAGAACACAGGATGTTTTCTACTAAAACAATAGAATATAAACGACTAAGAAAAGATCTTGCATATTGGATAGCCATGCATGCCAACTATCCATCAGATCTTATTGGATAGTCATAGCCAGCTAACCCATAAAATGCTTTAATTGACCTTAGCAAGTTAATGGTGTACATCCACGGGCAAGCAGCAAATCACCAACACTTAATTATATGTGGTTCACCCTGATAAAGCTACATCCTCAAGCAACTGACAAGGTTATGATTTTGTTATAGAGGGGGAATTACAAGATTATGTTGAATACCAAGACTTACTTTACAATTGGAAAACAGTATCAATCCCCTTTCTGCTCCCATAGAACAACTGTCGAACCAACCTTCATTATCGACTTCATCATTACTGCTCTGCCCGCAATGGCAAATTCAAATAAAACTACCCAAAAAATTGTAGCTAGTTCAACCTCAACCAAAGCTCTCCTATGCAATAACTAGTCTCTCTCTAAACAGCTTATAAAGCCCCATGTAATGTGACGCCAAACTATCCTTTAGTAACTGTTGAAATATCAATTGGGGGTTGGTTTTGTATGATCTACGAACATAAACTTATTTTGTAAAAATAATAAAATATAAAACTCTATTTTTAATATTGGCTTAAGCATAAAATGTAAAACTTTATTTCTAAGAATGGCTTAGACTTTTGGTTTCTTGTTTGTTACTCATACTGGGGGTACATTGAGATTGTAGATCTTTTAATCTTTGGATCTCCAGAGAATAATTTATTTCTTATGGGTAAATTGTTGACATGGATCTTGCATCATCAATTTGAGGAGTTTGGACAACCAAATTTTAACATTTGAGTTTTCAAACTAATTTACGTCCTGTATTTCAAATTGGGGCCTTTTCTATTTTTGACATCTTTGCTACAACTCGCATTGATGGATACAAGCTTGGGCAGAAAAGTAGATGATGAATGGTCCAGTCTGCAATTATATTAAGCTTGGAATAATTATAAATATTTTGTAAGGAATTCATTTGGTATATATTCGTGGTTGACACACACCAAAGGGTGGTTGACACAAAACAAAGGAGCATATACACAACTAGTTTTAAGCTTATGTAAAACAATATTTTTGTTTCTTTTTTGTTCATCAATTATCTAAAAGAAGCTAGTCAGGCTTTGGGCCCCCTAGCTCAACAGTTTTCCTTGCATTTTATTCTGATTGCATTTTCAAACAAAGGATGGTTCTTTTTTTTAAATCTTTTAAGTGAATCGAATTCTCGTATGATTACTTATACTTAATTAGACTGGGTTAACCATATCCTATGGTCTTTAAAGAGTTCATTTAATGTATTTAACTAAATTTCAAGTTTCAGATTGAATTTGGGAAAGAATTTTAGTTGTTCACATAGGTGTTCTCACGACTGGGATCTTAAAAATCATTAATTAGAAGGGATTGTAAACTACCAAAGGTCCTCAAGTTAGCCCTTGGATGTGTAACTTTCAGCTGTTCATACCCAAGTTGAGATAGTAGGCCTTCACCCATAAGTTCAAGGATGAGCTTTTAAGATCTGGAAAAACATAATGTTATTTTTGAATGGTTTCAGTATTTTAATTGAATTAATGTAATACCTGTGATTCTTTAAGGCTTGCCATGTCATATCCCCTACTTATAGTTGTGTACATATTGATTTTCTTATAGGAAATGCATCAGTTGTTTCTACCATTGTTGGAAAAATCGCTTGTTCTAACCGGTAACCGCCCGGTTAGATCGGAACATGCTAGTTTTGGTGACCAACCAAGTATTTTTAAAAAATAAAAAAATATATATAAAATCTTAAAAAATAAGGGATTCTGTTTGTCTTGTATTTTTAATGTTTTTCATCATTATAGCAAAAAATGAAAATTGTTTTGGCCATTAATTTTTTTTTTTTACATTTTCTCATCTTTTTTTAGAAAATTTCAAAAATACCCCTGGGCACAAATTGACTCTTTACAAGTCTTTGTTTTTTTTAATTAATTTTCAACTTCATTTGGATGTGCTTTGTTTAATCATTCTTTAAGTATAGCTTTCCTAATTTAGTAGATTTTTGTTTTTTTAGATATCTTTTTTAACACTTTTTTTGACCGACTGGGACTTGCCTGGCTAGAACGGTTGAACTGGCCAATTTACCGGTTAGGCCAGTGGTACCGCTTCCAAGCCTATGTCCGGTTAACCGTTCCAGTTCGATTTTTCCAACACTAGTTTCTACAAATCCTTGTTTCCATCATGCTTCTCCTTCACTATGGCATTGTATGACAAATGTTATTGATAATTTTGTAAATCAGCTCAACGGTGCAGTTTGGATGTTAAATATCTTAAAGTTCTAGAGTGAACCTGTCGAAGTAATCTTTTCATTACTCTGAAAAAGTTCTTAAAATTTTATTTTTCTCAATTTGTTTTATAATTTTTATTTTCATCAATATAATATGCTCTCCTACTGATTTCCATGACTCTGATTAAACTGTTGTGCTTATCGCCTCCAGATCATGGACAATGATTCAGGAAATGCCATACCAACTGACTGTTCCTTTGAAGAAGGCACTCCAAAATACCTCACTGGGCTCAGCACAATTATGGTGGCCTCAATTCAAGAACTAAAAGACCGAATCTCTCAGATAGAGTTCATTTTCTGCCGCCAAATCTTTCCTACCTATCAATCTGAACTGAAAACATCAAGAGGCTTGCAAAAACTGCTTGTCAAAGATAAGAAAGATGCAGAAAATGAGTGGAGAGAGAAAGAGCGCTCTTTGTTACTGTTAATTGAAGACCTTCGCAATGAAAAACAACAGGCCCAAGAATTGATTCAACAGGAGAAAGCAAAGTTGTTGGCAAAGTTTGATACAGAAAAGGAAGAATTGCTGAAAGCTCATGAAGGGGAGAAACATGCACTTTTTACAAGATTGGACAAATTAGAGAACATTGGAGAGGTTGAGGAGCTTCAGAGACAGCTACAGTTAAAAATAGAGGAACTCACCAAATTAAGAGCAAAGCATGACCTACTAATGACTGACCTTAAATGTAAAGAAGGACTTGCTAAAGAGTGGCTAGAAAATTTTTTGAGAGTAGATAAGGAGGCCCAAGAACAAATTCAGAAAGAGAAAGAGAAGTTGGGAAAACTTTTCCTTAATAAGAAGGAAAAGTGGATAAAAACTGAGAAATCTCAGCTCTTAGGTAGGTTGGAAAAGCTAGAAAATGGTGGGGAGCTTTCTCAGCTTCGAGAAAAGCTTTGCCTGAAAGAAGTGGAAGTCATCCAATTAAAAAAAATGAACCAAAAGTTAGCAGAGGACCTCAAATCTAACGATAATGAGCAAAGGATAATTGACATGCACCTGGATAATTGCAGAGATCAGCTAAAGAGTACCAAAGAGATATCAGAGGGGAAGCTGATAAATGAAAGGAGAGAGAAGGCATGTGTAATTCAGGAATTCGAGCTTCTGAAAAAGAAGTACATCAGCCTACACTCACAGCATAAATTTCTTCGTGGCAAACTTGGTCTTTCATTGGACAAGAGGCACAATATGAATGTAGGGAGAGAATCATCTATTCATCCTCGGCAGGAAAACTTACCAGGTATTTTAGTTACCAAGTATCAATCTGGCTATGAAACATCTGAGAGAGAGAGTGCAATGGTGATCAATTGAAAGTTGATTGGCTGGTTTTCTTACGTAGGGATTTGCAGCATAAATTCTTATGATCCAGGCCTATTATTTTAGCAAATGGTGTGCACATTTATTAATGAAAGATTTGAAAAATAATGTAAAAATGCCCAAACTATTTTGTTACTTCAGAACCGATTGAAATGCTCACTTTTTATCAGTGAGCGACACTCTCATTTATTGAATACTGCCTGGGTTTCAATGATACATCGTTTTAAGTTTAATAGTAGGATTTGCTTTCCTTGATGATGCAAGTCAAAGGGCATTTATTTTCATTTCAACTGATCTACATAATTCATCTCAGATGATGCAGGTCAGAACCCAAGTACCGCTCCTCTCTCTCCTCAATTGGACAAACCTGAAAAGAACGGCGATGCAGAAATAGAACCAAAAACCTGTATGGAACCAAAAAAAATTAGAACCCCAGAAACAGCACCAGGCTTCAATTCTGAAAAAATATCACCTGTTGCCCCTACAGAAAGCTCTAGTTCCAGAGCTCTAAAACGCCCCTTCATTTCAAAGATTGAATCTCACTCTGGCCTAAAGCGCTCAAACTCCTCTTGGAGGGATACTCGGGCCTGCCAAGAATTAAAGGAAAAGGGAGACCCACATGATGATTTTCTTGATACCCCAATGGAAATGGTTCATATGAACTTGAATAAAGAGCCTACTAATGGGCTTGAACCTAAAACAGAGAGAGGAGGAGCTCAATTAATTGCAGTTCCGCCCCTGAATGACATGGATTTCGATAATTCTGATGAGGATGAGACCCAGGAATTTGACTCGAATTCTTCAAAGGAATTAAAAGCTTGTGAAGACCCAAAATTGGAACCCAAAAAGAACAGTTCAACAAGTACAAGAGAATTGAACAGAGGCTATAAGTATGTTGAACCGGTCAGGAAGAAAGAAGAAAGAGAAGCTCTTAAAGGGGCTGAGTGCAACCAGTGTAAGAAGTTTTATGATGCCATTCTTCCAAATGGTAATAGTGATATTGTACGATGTGAACATAGAGATGTGGGTTCGAGGCATCGTTATCGCTATGCTCCTCCTTCAACTCCTGAAGGATTTTGGAATATCGGGTTTGATTCAGTTATGGAAAATTAGCATGGCAGAAGTCTTGAGCTTATGTGAACTGGTTCTTTGGTCAGTCATTTGCGTTTCGGGCTTGGATGTTTCTTTGATCATCTTACTCATTCGACTGAAATTTGGAAGGACAGTATCTGTGCATCCTACTCTTTTGTTCTTCCATTGTTTCTAAACCATCTCCATGTTCATATTTTGTCATTTTTTATGGTATTTACATTTTTACTCATCCCTTTTGTTCTCTAAAAGACCTTATCTTGTTCTTGTCCTTGCTATTTCTTCTTTTTGAAAGGAAGATCTACCAAAACAAGTGGACTAAGTAATAAAAAATAAACACCGCAAAAGGGGGTTGCAAACTAGTCTTTTGTCAACTCTTTATACTTCTCACAGTAGGTAAGGCTATGGTCTTGGGTCAGTTCATAGTAATTTGAATTCCTCATCTCCAACTTATGCAAGACTTTATAAACCAAGATGATAGTATGGAGACAATAATTAATTGGGTGGGTAGAATTATGTGAACACCATGGAGGTTAACTTTCAAATTTAAGAACCTTTTTTCTATATTGCAAATCAATAACAAATGGACTTTCGATATGGTTGGGGTGGATCATTCCTCCAATCAAAGTTTAGCCAAAATTTTAGATAAATTTTTGATGGACTTTGAAAGGAGTAACGAGCTCCCCTGTCTGTGTTTGGCATTTGATGGGTGGAAAGGCGCAGTAGCAAATTGTAGGAAACCCAAAGTATGAGCATATGAAATTGTCCAATAAAACATTAGGTAGCACCTAAGAGGCAGATTAGCTTTGGATGCGTCTATTATTTTGGCAAATATATGATGCTCATAGAGTTGGTTTGTGCTTTCATTCACTTGGTAGGTTATGTCTATGTCCAATCAAATGATTACTGAGATGTCAACATTTTGGAGAGAGGACACCAGTAACGATTTCATGAATCATATGCATAGATTAGTTGGTTTGTGTGTATTATCATGTGAGAAACCAAATCAAGGTAGATCATTTTGTAGGGCCAATCTCATTGGGAAGTGTACTTTTGATGCCAAAATATCCGCAAATTGATCACTTTGACTTTGAAAAGATGGATTTGAAAAAAAAGAAAGAAAAGGATTTCAAATCTTAAAAACGATTTACCTGGTAACACGTTTCTCAGCCGTCTATTTCAAGTGTTCTTAGATCTATCAGCTCCATACTAGTTTTGGAGTTTCAAATTTGTAATCAAGGGTGGCGCTAGACTTTTAAGCCATTACAAGGGTTTTGGCACTACTGCGAAGGTTTATATCTTCAAGCTATTGCAAGTATTTCCGTTTTCGGCGTTAGAATTGGAGTTCTAGACATTTTCTAGTCATTACAAATGTTTGCAATGCTGGAATGGCATGGATTTTGAGATGCAGTGGCCGTAACCTTCATTTAACAGGTGAAATATCGTAATGCTACGAGTATTTTTTCGATAATAAATTTTGAGAACCATCTTAGAATTATCAAAAATTATTTTTTATTTTTTTAAAAAAAAGATGGATTTTGAGTTTATAAGAAACTTTAAATAATACAATACATAGTTGTTAGTTTAGGTGAGGAGTTTATATCTCTTAAAATTTAGAAGCATCAAGATACCCCTAGATTGGTTTCATCAAGGGAGTGAATGGACGAAATGCTCTTAGGAGCGTATAATCCTACATAATAACATGACTAACGAGTGATCAACATAGCCTTTTCCCAATTATTTGGGCCGGCAGAATGTCCTAGCTTACTCTTGCTCATTTCTCACTATTTGGGTTCTAATACAGCACATTATTCACTGTGAACAATCTAACATAAACAGATAATGTAGATTCATACTACTAATTTTAAATCTAAATCATCTATAATATCTTATATCTCTATTAAAAAGATTTCAAGTCCAAGATTTCAAAGTAGAAGATATGCCTCCACTGCGGTCCCAAGGTTCATAATCTTGGAGATTGATGGTGCACATGAAAAGACATTTCCAATAGAGAAATCTGAACTCTCCAAGCTAAATCCGAGTGGACATACAATAGAAAACAATATCCCCACATCTTTCTATGTCGGCAGACATATGAAAGGCCTCCATTTCTCCAGGCGGAAGATGAGGGAGAATCACAGTTGATTGTGTTGGGAAGCTGTGCCTTCCTATTTATTTGTGAATCAAAGAAAAATATCAAATTCTAAAAGAAAGGGAAAAACCTGATATGATGGGCTCACCCAAACTCTCTTGCACAAGCTTTTTACATGAATGTGGATGTGCACAGTGGAACGGATACACACAAATATAGGATACACAACAATATGCCAAAGTTCTATGTGTATGATTGGAAAAACATGTAAAAAAAAAAGAAATAAATCTCCATTATTAACTCGACCATTATAATGATCTTTTGATAAACGACATTTCTTGGACACTCAACTTTTTTTTAGGGACTTTCTCTCTCTAGGTTTTTTCTATATTAGTTTCTTCTCTATCTCGGAAACTTCGGTTTTTCTTTTCTTTCTTCCATAAGCTTTTTTCTCTAAAATAAATAGGTCTTTTTTTCTCCCTTCTTATTCTCTATAGGGGCGTGTTTGTTTTTCTGGAAGTATTATTTCAGATACTATTATTTCAAATTTTCAAAAACTTCCGCCTTTGTTTCACACTTTCATGAAAAATTCAGAAACTAATATTTCAACAAAGTTCCCATTTCTTTGTTAAAAAGTGTAAGATTAAGTTCTTGGAAGAGGAACTGAATCTTTCGAAACTTTTTTGTTGATCACTATTTACTATGGATAATATAAATACATAATATTAATATTATTAATATGATGTAATATAATATAATATTATTTATTTCTTTTATTAATATAATTTTTATATAATATATATTATATATGTAATATATAAATATTATATATATATTAATATTTAATATAATATTTTATATTATACTAAATATTATATATAATATATATTTATCATATTATATATAATATTTATATTATAATATATATTATATATAACATAGATATATATATTATAGAATATTTATATTATTATTTATTATATTATATATAATATATATTTATTATATTATATAATACGTATATTATTATATTATAGGAAATATATAACAGGAAAAGATGATATTAGCCCACTAGCTCATATGAACATATGAATCCAACGGCTCAGATTGAATCTGGGCTGATCAGACGATCACAGATGTCCGGTAGTGCTTGAATTTTATTTTATTTTTTTATATATTCAAATCACTTAAAATTTTAGGCGTGTGTTTTTTTTATCAAGGCGCACTTAATAAAAATATAAAAACAATTATTCGCAAAACTTAAAATGACCAAAATACCCCCAAAACATTTT